ACCCCATTCCGCTGCCAGCATCCTGCAGGCCCCTCCTCAGGGAAGACCCTCGGTGAAGGGTGAGGCCCGATCGCCACTCACCTACTCCTGATCCTGAAAGGTTTTGCCCTTTTCCCAAATAAAAACTTTGACAGTATTTCCAAAGGAGGCTTTTGACAGACTTGCCACATTGTCCGTGCAGGGAAGGTTGCCTGTCTCTAGCCATCTTCCTCTTCTTACAGCTGTGCTGAGATGTTTTGACTAGATGCAGGGCTGCTGCACTGAGGGTGCAACCCACCTCCTGCAGGGAAGGCAGCTAGACCACATTCCAGGGAGTGGAACGTGAGCGAAGGCCGTCTGCAGACTGCTTTTATTCTATAAAGAATGAGGATTGCGCCGGGCACAGTGGCTCACCTGTAATCCCAGCACTTTGGGAGGCTGAGGCAGGCGGATCACAAGGTCAGCAGATCGAGACCATCCTGGCTAACACAGTGAAACCACGTCTCTACTAAAAAATACGAAAAACAGGCTGGGCACGGTGGCTCACACCTGTAATCCCAGCATTTCGGGAGGCCGAGGTGGGTGGATCACGAGGTCAGGAGATCCAGACCATCCTGGCTAATACGGTGAAACCCCGTCTCTACTAAAAATACAAAAAATTATTCGGGCGTGGTGGCGGGTGCCCGTAGTCCCAGCTACTCGGGAGGCTGAGGCAGGAGAATGGCATGAACGCAGGAGGCAGCACTTGCAGTGAGCTAAGATCGTGCCACTGCACTCCAGCCTGGGTGACAGAGTGAGACTCTGTGTCAAAAAAAAAAAAAAGAATGAGGCTTGCCCTGCCTTCCCCTCTCCCGTTCCCTGGTGGCTGAACCAGGAAGGGTGTGGTAGGGCTGTGTGTGGCCTTCAGGAATTTCAGTTTTCATTCATGACTCAGAAGGCTCAGCCCCCTGGCACAGGACAGGTTTCTCAAACAACCCACTAGGGTTAGGGGCCTGCAGGTTTGATTCTGCCCCTCTCCAGGTCAGGGTTCCTAATGCACTCCCCCAAAGGTCCCCATCACCCTGCTTCTCCAAATCCCTGGTCACTGTCACAGGCTTGGTCTTCCAGGCACTGTGTATGGTGGTGGTCCCTGTAGTTGCCCATACAATCACTCCCTTTTTCCTTAGTAACAGGAATCTTAATTTGATTTGGCTTCAAAAATACTGTTTCCAGCCTCTTTTTGCTGACAGGGGTGCCTGTGTGTTCCAGTTCCACCCCGGGAGTTTTGACCCAGCGCTCCGTGAGCTTCCAGGAGAGGAGGAGGCAGCTGCCATCCACCCTTACCTTCTTCCTTCCTCCTCCTTCCTACCTAAAACGTGTGCTGGCTGGAGCTCCCGCAGCCAAGAAATGACACCTGGTATGGACGCCTCGTGCTAAGAAGAGTGAGACTGAGACCTAAGAAGGAATCTGGGCCCTGATGGGGGGGGAACCCCCACGCCAGCCCTGCACCACCGACCTCTCATCTCCATCAGGCGCTGGGATCCTGCTTCCTGCTCTGCAACTGAATCTATTCTGACACACTGTCTTCCAGTTCTGGTATAAAGAGTCAGACTTCAAGTTAGCCAAGGGAGGCAGTGGGGGAAAGCAACAGCCTTGGCACTACCCGGCCCCCTGTCAACTGCCCCCACTCTGCTCACTCCAGACACAGGTGGGGGGGATTAAGTGTCGAGGGAGCCAAGGTGAACAGCAGGAAAAGGAAAGCAGTGGAGACAGAGCTTTCCACCAGACTTTGCTCACAATGCAGCCACACAGATTAATCCCACAGCCACCACAGAAGGCTGTGTTACCCCCGCCTCACAGGAAGAGCTCTGGCAGGAAGAACAGCTGGACCCAAGTCAGACACGCAGGTCATGGGCCCAGAGCAGGGCCGGCCCAGTCCTACCGCACTCTATGACATCGGCCACCAGGCTGGTCTCCAGGAAATATGGCCCCCGGCGTCTACTTCCTAGTGTCAATTCCCTGTGAATTGCCAGGGGCCAGAACGTGGGTAGGTGGGAGAACAGATGGAGGTTGAAAGACCTCTGGTGGCAAAACACTGACCTCTACAGAAGTCTCATCAGGGAGCCTGAAATCCCATGTTAAGATATTTCAGAAAGAGGGCAAGCTTCTGTTATATAAATCCATATGTTATTTAAAGTTATATAAAGCTAGACAAATATGTACATAACGCTATGGGTTTTGGTGGTAAATGTTTTATCTATGCACATTATGTGTAAATGTGAGGAAGGCGTGTGGTAGGATACACCACCCACGCGTAAACACATAGGAGGGAGCATGTGCAGTCTGTTTGATTATCTAAAATGAACATGTAATATGAAAAACCAGTAGCTGGTATTTTTAAAGGGGTGCTCTGTATCTAACCCTCTAAATGCCCCCCACCTCGCACCCTCTTGGCCTGCCCTGAGGGCTTTGTCAGTTTCCCCTGCCCCACAGCCTTGGCAGGGTTCTGATGCAGGGCCCAGCGAAGGCTCAGGAGAGCCTTGGCCAGACTCCATCAGACATTTGTCTACACTGGGGGTGACTCAAATCTACACAAATGAGATCCCATCAGTGACCCAGGTAAGAGGATTGCAAAGGCCAAGAGGCTTGAGAAGGGAAGGCTGCCGGGAAGGCAGTGTGTCCTGGAGACAGAACGAGCAGGAACCCGCAGCGACAGCAGGAGTGGCAGGAGGTGGTCACAGCTGGAGGCAGAAGCAGGAATGCAGCAGCAGCAGCAGCCAGGCGAAAGACAGCTCTGTAAACCTGAGACTGGAGGCTGGCTGAACTCTACAGCACTGAGTAACAGGGCTTTTCCATCTGGCATTTCCACTTGCTTTGGTACCCACAGGAGCTTCGGGGTCTGGAGGCAGCCGCCATGCACACATGCACACCACCTGAGCAAGCCTTGACGGGGGAATACCAGGAGACCCCTGAAGGTGCTCCTTCCTTCGGGAGCCTGAGATCCAGTCTCTGCCTTGTAAGGGTGTCCTCTGGCCCCGCAGGCCCCAAACTCTACTCCTCCCACATCTCTCCCGGACCTCCCCGAGCCACCCAGCCCCCTCACCACCCTCACAGGAGACCACCGGTGCCTGGCCTGAGAATCCAAGTGCAGCTGGGAAGTGGCCTGGAAGAGGCGGTAAAGGCTGGAATGGAACAGTCCAGCATCACACAGTGGCTAAGAGCAGAGTTAATTCCAATCCGGCTCTCCCACAACCCTCTGTGTGACCCTGGGCAAGTTAACCTCTATGTGCCTGCTTCCTCACCGGTCAAACAAGAGCAAAACTACTCACCACCGAGGCTTGCTCTGAGGATTAAGTAAGTTCGTATTTATCATGGAGCACTCAGAACAATGCACTCGGTTAGCTGCATGAAATGCTAAGGACATGGAGCCTGGCAGCCAAGCTCCTCCTGGCTCCACTGGGAAGGGCACAGTGCAGCTATCTCCTGGTCTGCTCCACATCTGCAAAGCACAGATAACGACCATCTCCCCTTATTTAACAAAAAAGTAGGGCTAAATAACCCATCTAAACAACAGGGGAAGGCAAAACCCACTCCACACAAATCTCAAAGGTTAAAATAAAATGGATGTCTGACACTGGTTTCTGAGCCCAGACGGGAGGTCAGAGCTGCTCCCAGGGCCACGGCCTCGACACAGCTCCCCAGATGCCTCTGCCACCATCTGGTGTGGAGCTCCAAAGTAGTTTCTGCCAAGAACATTGCTAGCCCGGGGTTTTTGTTTTGGTTTGGTTTGGTTTTTTTGGAGACAGAGTTTTGCTCTTCCCGCCCAGGCTGGAGTGCAGTGGCGCAATCTCAGCTCACTGCAACCTCCCCCTCCTGGGTACAGGTGATTCTCCTGCCTCGGCCTCCTGCAGCTGGGATTACAGGTGCCTGCCACCACGCCCGGCTAATTTTTGTATTTTTAGTAGAGATGGGTTTTCACCATGTTAGCCAGGCTGGTCTCAAACTCCTGAATTTAGGTGACCCACCCACCTTGGCCTCCCAAAGTACTGCAATTACAGGCGTGAGCCACCGCGCCTGGCCTAGCCCTGAGTTTTCAAACCCACTCAGGAAATCAGGAAACCAAGTTCGTGGTCACAAAAAGCGTTTTGCTTTTTGTTTTTCCGAGACGGAGTCTTGCTCTGTCGCCCAGGCTGGAGTGCAGTGGTATGATCTCGGATCACCGCAACCTCTGCCTCCCAGGTTCAAGTGATTCTCCAGCCTCAGCCTCCTGAGTAGCTGGGATTACAGGCATTCACCATCACGCCCAGCAAATTTTTGCATTTTTAGTAAAGTATTTTTAGGTTTCACCATGTTGGCCAGGATGGTCCTGAGCTCCTGACTTCGTGATCCATCCACCTCAGCCTCCCAAAGTGCTGAGATTAGAGCCACTGCGCCTGGCCGCGTTTTGTTCTTTTAAATGAATTAGTGGAGAACAGAAACTCTCAGAATGTTGCATGTGATATGCATAGGTAACAGTTTTGTCTGCGTATGTGTTCTGGGTGTTAGCAAAACAGGGGTTGCGTTTGGGAGTCCAAGCGTCACTGTGAGGCCAACCCTGGTATCAGCTATGCACCCTGAGGCTCGCCGGCAGGTGATAAAGCGCACTTAGTAAGCACTGCCTGGGCCAGCAGAGGGCACCGGGCACAAAGCACCTCTCAGGGACCACCCTCATCAGAGGAGCTGGTTCTTCCCCAGACAAGGCCTGCCCAGCCAGCAGGAGGCAGAAGCAGGAGACACTCACCAGCTTTCCTGCTGCGGCCTCCTGGCTCTACAGGATGATCAGTAGGAGCACAGCTTGGGGGTCCTCTCTACCTTGTGGCCTGCACTTCCTTTCCCCCCGGCCCCCATCCCCTGGGCTGTCGCTGGCTCTTCTCTCCCACTCATCCACTTTCCTTCCTCAACTCTGCTTCCTCCCACCCATCTAGCCCTCTCCTTAACTCTTCATTCTCCCTTTTCCTTTCTTCCCCCCCATCACCTCCTTTTCCAGGACACACACACACAAATATTTTTCAGACAATTCAGCCTTTACTTTATTTTAGAAAATAATTCTGTAGCTTCCACTTTCTTTCATGAAACTGAGGTCAGGCAAGAAGCGAAAATCCACCAAGTCCTCTCCACCCCACCATGGCATCCTGGCCTGTGAGGACACGGGGCGCCTGGGAGTGGGCAGGGAGGCTGGGCAGCACTGGGCCAGAGGCGTCCTGGTCGCTGCTCCACCTCATGCTGAGAGGCCACCAGAACCACAGCCTGCAGGGAGGAGCCTGTGCGCCAAACCCCAGAGGAAAAAGGGACACGCGGATCGAATTTTGTCTTCTACCAAGCCAGCAGGAGCCTCCTAGAGCAAGAGGGAGGGGACTGATTTTCAGAAAGGAGGGGTCAGGGCATAGTCCCTCTCTGAGGTAAGGCAAGAGAGGGGTTGTCCCAGCACAAGCCTTCCTCCCTGCACCTCTCCCCTGAAAGCTGGGCACAGGCTGAGGAGAGGTTTTGCTTGCCCCCTTCAACTTTCCATCTCAAAACGATAGACTGCTAGGCTGCAGGGAGAGAAGGGCTAAGTGGGGGTCAGAGACAAGGAGAGGACAGGGGCAGTGAGCCACCAACTCCACCAGGCCCTGACAAGGCAGCCCCTTTGGTTAGTATCATTTTGGCCACAAATATGTCCCCTTCTCCCATAACCCAGCTCCCACTGGGGGAAAGGGAACAGGTATAGAAGGAGGGCTCATGCCCTGGCTGGAAAAGCCAGGTCAGGGAGAAGGGTCTGGTCAAGAGGGCAAACGTTGCCAAACTCTCTGCACATGCTCCAGGAGAAAACTCAGGAGGTGGACATTTCTGGCCAGTGTCCCCCTACCACACAGTGGTTTCCTGCTTAATACCCAGCAACATACCCTAGAATAGTTCCCCTGATCTGACTCCCTTGAGAACGGGAGAATCATCCTCACCTTATCATTTGTGCACTTAAATGCCACTCGGAAAAATCAAAAAGATAAATGCACCTAAGAGGGAAACACAGGCAGGCCGATGCAGCCTGGGGACTGTGGTCCCACCTCAGCTCATGATGCGGTAAGGAGGGGCCCACGAAGGACAGGCTAATTCCAGCTAGGATCGTAGCCCTCCCACGTCGGCGGGGGCGCCAGGTGGACACGGCGGCCCCGGAACTGGAAGGTGACAATACCCCGATAACCAGCTCTCGGAACCCCCGACTTAAGGTCATCCATGACACCCAGAGCCTTGGCGAAGGCCTTGAAGCTGTCCCTGCCGGTATACTGCACCCGCACCTCCCCCAGCTCCTTGCGATCATTGGTCCTCACTTTCTCCACCTGCAGCTGGGGAGCCGCGTAGACGCGGGCGAGGAAGTCCCGGTCATAGGCCTCCCGCTGCAGGTAGGAGAGGTCCAGCTGGGTGAAGTGCACAAACTGCTGGTTCAGCTTGATGAACTTGAGGTGCTGGTCAAAGAACTGCCCGTGGCTCACACCCTTGCGGCCAAAGGTCATCGTTCTGGAGATTTCGGGGCGTATGCAGGCCCGGCCCTTCCGCTGCTCCGGCCGGCGCATCCAGTCGTCCCAGAAGGCCTTCGGCCACTTGGGCTCCAGCTCGGCCCAGAGCTCGGCCAGCAGCAGCCAGCCCAGGCCGGGAAAGAAGTCGGTGCGGTAGAGCAGCTCGGGCTTGCCGGGGTCCACCATCTGCTCCTTGCCGTTGTCATTCCAGGCCGAGACGCACCAGAGGGAGGGGTCGGCCTTCAGCAGCGGATAGGTGGCCTGGAAGTACTCGAAGAAGTCCGGGGCCACCTCCAGGTCATCCTCCACCACCACGGCCGCGGGGAAGCGAAGCTGGTGGAAGACCTGGCCCAGCGCCCAGCGGTAGTGCCGCGCGATCTTGTAGTAGCCCTGGAACTTGCGGTGGTCCGGCGGCACCGCGATGCTGCTCAGGTCGGGCTGCCGGATGTGCGTGACCGCGCTGCCGTAGGAGGCGATGGCCTGCGCCGTCTCCTCGTGCCCACAGTCCTGGCTGACGATGATGGGGAAGAGCTCAGCCGAGGGCCGGTAGTGCAGCAGCTTGTCCAGGCAGCGCCGAACAGTGCTGCGGTCACAGGCAATGACCAGGATGGGAATCACCGCTGGCGCTGGGGTCACAGGCACGTGCGGCTGGGCGGGAGGGCCCGCTGTGGGCACCCTCCCCCGCTGGCTCCACAGGGCATCCCCGATCTGCTGCAGCAGCCCACGCTGGCGCTCCAGCTCCACCTCGGCGTCTTGGGCCAGGCGAATCACTTCCCGCGTGAGGCTGGCGGGGTCGTCATCCAGAGCACTGACTGAGGGTGGCCTGCCGGGTGCTGGGCGTGTCCAGAAGAAAAGGAGCAGCAGGGCATTCCAGGCCACAAAGAGGATAGCGCCCCACAGCACAAGCCCTGCAGACTGCTTCTTCAGCATCCTGGCCCCCACCGGGGAGGGCTCGAGGCTGCCCGCGGCTTGCCCGGCTCCCTTGCCTGCAGTCCTGGGGACGCTTCCTCTGGACTATGGGATTAGGAAGCAGCCATGCACCTAAAGACAGGAGAGAGAAAACAAACCGTCACACAAAGGCGCGTGGCTCCGCACCCCACAGGTAGAGGAATGTGGGGGGCAGGAAAAGGCCAAGCGTGAGGGTGGAGGAAGGCCAGGAGGTTGATTCCAGAGCTCTCTGCGGAGTCTACATATATGCTGACTCTCAGCAACATGTTCTTGAGGGAGAGGTAGAATGTGATGCTGACAGAGGGAGAGAGAAAAAGAATCCTAACTCCTCTCTTTCTACCTGTCGGAACTCATTTCCCTCCAGCGGGGAAGGAGGAGGCAGGAGCAAGGAGTGAGAGCATCCGCCTACCATTCCTCTAACCCAACTGCCCCAAGATTACTGATTTTTAAAATCAAGTATCACACCTCAGGGCTAAAATTAATCCCTTACCTAACAGGGAAGCACCAGGGGCACCCCATGAATGTCAGGAGCAAAATGAAGCTGCCCATCATCTCCAGCGTTATTTAACGTTTTGCTGGAGGAAGCAGTCAATGCAAATGAACCAAGAAAAAAACAATTCAAAGCAGACGTGGAAAAGAAGCGAACTATTTCTATTATCTTTACTTGTGAGAATATGCCTGGAAAACTCTAAGAAAATCAATAATAAACTAAACCAAACTATCAATGAACTGAGCAAGGTAATGAAATATAAAAATCAACATACACAAATGGATAGCCTTTATATCCACAAATGACTCATGAGAAGAAAACATGGATGAGAAAACCCTACTTACAAAAGCCAGAGAGATGAGAGAATATTTAGAAATAAACTTAACTTAAATAAACTTAAACATTCAAAACTTATGTGAACAAAACTATCATTCCCGAAAGACACAAAAGAACATTTGAACATTCCTTGTTCTTGGTCAGGACATCTCAGCATCATAAAAATCCCAATAAAAATACCTTTTTATGGAACTAGACGAACTGACAATAAGGTTCACATGAACAACTAGGAAAACAGTAAAAATAAGCTGTGAGGAGGAACTTAGCCCTACCAGATACTAAAATGCTGCACACTGGCCAGGTGAGGAGGGACTTAGCCCTACCAGATATTAAAATGCTGCATACTGGCCAGGTGCAGTAGCTCCCACCTGCAATCCCAGCACTTTGGGAGGCCAACGCAGGAGGATCGCTTGAGCCCAGGAGTTCAAGAATAGCCTGGGCAGCACAGAGAGACCCTGTCTCTACAATAAATAATCAAAAAAAAAAAAAAAAAAAAAAAAAAGCTGGGCATGGTGGCATGCACCTGCGGTCCCAGCTACTTAGGAGGCTGAGATGGAATCACCCGAGTCTGGGAAGCGGAGGCTGTAATGAGCCGTGATTAGATTGTGCCATTGCACTCCAGCCTGGGCAAGACAGTGAGGCTCTCTCAAAAAAATTATATATATATACACACACACACACACATATCACATACTACAAAACCTCCGTAATTACAACTGTGTGGTATTGGTACATAAACAAACAGACCAGCCAGTGAAATAGAATTTAAGCTCCAGAAACAGACTCAATACACACACAAAAAATAGTATGTAATAAAGGTGCTACTTAAAATTCCCAAGGCCAAGATGGTCTCATTAATAGTGTTATAATAATTATGTAGCTACGCTATATAGCTTGAATATGGTTTGTTCTCTGAAACACATGCTGGAATTTGACCCCCAGTGTGGTGGTGCTGGAGGTGGGGTCTAGTGGTAGGTGTTTGGATCACAAGGGGGGCCGGGGCAGAGCCCTCATAATGTCCTCTGGTGAGTGAGCTAGTTCCCCAGGGATAACAGACTGTTACAACCAAGCCCAGTCTCTCTTGCATGCCCCACTTCCTCTCTACTACAACCAAGCCCAGTCTCTCTTGCATGCCCCACTCTCTCTACCGTCTCTCCTGCATGCCCCACTTCCTCTCTACCGTCTCTCCTGCATGCCCCACTTCCTCTCTACTGGTCTCTCCCGTATGCCCCACTTTCTCACCACTCTACCGTCTCTCCTGCATGCCCCACTTCCTCTCTACCGTCTCTCCGGCATGCCCCACTTCCTCTCTACCGTCTCTCCTGCATGCCCGCTTCCTCTCTACCGTCTCTCCTGCATGCCCCACTTCCTTTCTACTGTCTCTCCTGCATGGCACACTTCCTTTCTACTTTCAGCCATGTCCATATAAAAACCTACACAGGAATGTTTATAGTAACTTTATTCATAATCACTCAAAACTGGAAATAACCCAAAGGCCCATCAACAGGGAAATACAGATAAACAAATTGTGGTTTACTCATAGAATGGAATAATATCCAGCAAAAAAACCTGAATAAATCACTGACATACACAACACAATCTCCAAATAAATACACAATATGGGTCTTTTTGGGAAAAATAAAAAAGAACATATACGCTATGATTCCATTGACATAAAACTGCAGAAAATAGAAACTAATCTATATGACAGAAAGCAGATCAGTTGTTGCCTGGGGATGGAGGCAGAGAAGGGCACTGGGGTAGTTACTACACAGGGGCTTTAGGAAACTTCTGGAAAGGTGGATATGTTTATTATCTTGATTGTGGTGATACTTTTATAGGTATATATATACACACACACACATATATTTGTCAAAACATCAAATTGCACACTTTATATGCAGTTTATTGCACATATTTATATCAATTGTACGTCAATAAAACCTCAAAAAACTTTTTTAAAAAAGACATTATTGGGTAAAATGACAAAGTTGGAATATGGACAATAGGTTAAAGTATCAGTGACAACTGATTAATTCCAATTCTTAGAATGGATGCAACTTCTTAAATGGTTCAGAACAAAAATATACTGCATACATAGAGAGGGAGAGCAAATGGAGCAAAATATTAACAAGTGAATCTGAGTAAAGACAGTGTGTACGAGTATCCTTATACTATTTTTTATTCTTGCAATTTGTATAAGTTTGAAGCTATTTCCACATGAAGTTTCTTGACAGTCAAATATGTAGACATTGCCCATAGCTCTGAATAGCTTCATCCATCAGTGTCGCCCCAGCTGGGCACATCAGCAAGGCAAATTGAGATGATCTGTTTGCCCTGAATTCCTCCGTCAGTCACCTGACAACATGCATCACACACCTGCTCTCTGCCAGGCTCTGGGAAGGAATCAGGACACAAACCAATGAGAAAAAGGCATGGTCCCACCCACCCTCCAAGCTCTACCAGATCACACTACTGGAAAGGATCTGAAACACTCCTCAATTCCCAGCCAGCTGCCCTTCCAGACCATAACTCCTTGACTGTTCTGCCTCTGATCTACCCTTCACACCTGGAAGCTTCAGGCATGCACCCTCTTACACCGACAGCTCTGCCAGTCACCCTCTTACACCGACAGCTCTGCCAGTCACCCTCTTACACCGACAGCTCTGCCAGTCACCCTCTGCCTCACAGCCTACTCTCTAATCCTGGTCGAAACCTTGGGCCTCAGATCTAATCTCTGAGGCTCTGGGCTCTCAAACCAGCAGATCTGGCTTAAAAGGGCTGATCCTGAAGGGCGTCTAAAGAGACCTGGATTCTGTCTCCCTCCTGGGGAGATTTCCCCAGCCCGCCAGCATTCACCACCACTTGTCTTCTTCCTAGAAACCAACCACCCCCGCCGCTCCAGGACATGTCTTCTCAGAAACCTCCAGTCCATCTCCACGTACCTGTGCAATTAAATTCCTATTATGTCAGGGCTCACACACTGCAGATCAGTTAGATACATGTCATCGAGTGGCGGAGGAATTCAGGCAAACACTGTTTCAGTTGGCCTCACTGCTGTGCCCAGCTGGGGCCACACACATGGATGAAGCTACTCAGAGCTGTGGGCCATATCCCCATATTTGATTTTTAAGAAACTTTATGTGGAAGAAAAGAGTGATGTACAGAAGAGTTTCAGTTTCTTTATCTCCCTTTTTTTTTTTTTTTTTGAGACAGAGTCTCGATCTGTCTGTTGCCCAGGCTGGAGTACAGTGGCATGATCATCTCAGGTCATTGCAACCTCTGCCTCCCAAGCTCAAGCGACTTTCTTGCCTCAGCCTCCCGAGTAGCTGGGATTACAGGCGCCTGCCACCATGCCCAGCTACTTTTTGTATTTTTTTTTTTTGTATTTTTTTTTGAGACGGAGTCTTTGCTCTGTCGCCCAGGCTGGAGTGCAGTGGCACGAACTCGGCTCACTACAAGCTCCGCCTCCCGGGTTTACGCCATTGTCCTGCCTCAGCCTCCCGAGTAGCTGGGACTACAGGCGCCCGCCACCTCGCCCGGCTAGTTTTTTGTATTTTTTAGTAGAGACGGGGTTTCACCGGGTTAGCCAGGATGGTCTCGATCTCCTGACCTCGTGATCCGCCCGTCTCGGCCTCCCAAAGTGCTGGGATTACAGGCTTGAGCCACCGCGCCCGGCCCTACTTTTTGTATTTTTAAGAGAGACGGGGTTTCACCATGTTGGCCAGGCTGGTGTCGAACTCCTGACCTCAAGTGATCCACCCTCCTCAGCCTCCCAAAGTGCAGGGATTACAGGTGTGAGCCACGGTGCCCGGCAGAGTTTCAGTTTCTTCTTCGCTCTCCCCTCAGGATGTTGTCCATGTTGGAACTTCCCCTCCAATCTGAAGGCCAGGATTGCCTGTCTCCCAACTTCTCGCCTCCTAAATGACTGTGCAAGAAAAAGACTTTATATAACAGGATGGGGATGGAGAAGAGGGACTGAACTCTATTCACCAAAGTGCTGCTCTGCATGGCTTAGAAGGGCGGGGCCACACTGGGCTCAGTGGCTCAGGCCTGTAATCCCAGAGCTTTGGGAGGCCGAGGCAGGCAGATCACCTGAGGTCAGGAGCCTGGCCAACATGGCAAAACCCCATCTCAACTAAAATAAATATACAAAAATTAGCTGGGTGTGGTGGTGTGCGCCTGTAATCCCAGCTACTTGGAAGGCTGAGACAGGAGAATCCCTTGAACCTGGGAGGCGGAGGTTGCAGTGGGCTGAGATGGCGCCACTGCCTTTTAGCCTGGATGACAGAGCAAGACTCCATCCCAGAAAAAGAAATAAAAAAGGGGGCTAGAGGGATAGCCCGTCCCTGACTGATCAACGACCTGCAAGCCCTTATGGCAAAGCCTCATGGGACCCTCCAGACGACTTCTGCACCCTTTAGATGACTTTTTACTCTTCTCCAAACATGAGAATTTGTGGCCCACACCCACTGCCTGACACTTAGGACCTCCTGCCCCACCCTTCTAAGTCATGCAGGTCAAAGCAATCTTCTGACTGGGTTTTTACTTAGCAAAATCTGCACACATCTGGAGTGGCTGGAGAGCCCACAGGAAAAGCTGCCCCAGCCCAGCCCTGGCCTCCACTTTAGTGCTTGGACCGTTGTTCTCCACCCCACAGCCCTGTGCTTCAAACTTGCTCCTCTTGCCGTAAGAGTACATGACACCCCTATTTCCAGCCCACCTGCTTCTTCACATAGGCTCATCCTGGGCCCCAGTGCTATTTTCCTACTGTTTACCCATGTAATTTCTGGGATGTGATCCTCAGCTCTGCCTGGAAGTTAGTGCTGTGTGCACACACATGAACCAGGAGTCACACACTCTCTCACAGCTGGCTGTGCCCAAAAGGACGGTCAAGCCCAGACTCTGGCCAGCAGCGGTGACCTGCTCCTCCAGGAAGCACTGCTCAGGTCTGCTCAGGCCACCATCAGGAGAGTGCAGCAGTAACAAAGGCAAGCCAGACAGCCCAGAGGCATCACCCTACGTTTTGTCACATTTCTGAGACTCAAACTGGGTTGCTGTGAAGATCAGATGAGATAAGCCATGTTAGGTGTTTAGAACAGTGCCTGGCATGACCATGTAAATACTGGCCAGTTACTTCACTCCTTTCTCCCCATTCTCTTTGTTCCACTCTACCACACTCCCATCGGGCACCCCAATGGCCAACCCTACCCTTGGGGTCTGTGCATGTGCCCTTGAGCCAGCTCTGCTCTTCCCTATCTTCTTCACCTGGCACACTCTGTCGTGTCTCTGCCAAGATGCCTTCCTTGACGCCTGGGACCACGTAAGGTCCACCTACCCTTCACCAACAGCAACGAGCGCAACCACCTGCTCGATTTCTCTCAAGTCCCCTCAGCTGCAAGCTACATGAAGACAGGGATTGGCTCCACCAGCACCACCAAGCCGCTGTGCTAGGGCCCTCATCATTCAGCAGACGTGCCTGGGATCTAAACACATCCACAGTTCCTCAACTGCAACTGCCAAATCCAAGAAGCACTAAAAAACAGAAGTTTTCTAAACTCAATTGGCAGTGAAGCCTCATCCAAGCTCATTTGCTAAAATCTGATCTGATCTAATATGGGGCTATTTATAGTCTTTTATCTCTCCTGCTGTGGTTATTCATACATTTTGCTACAGAAATAAACATGGTGGCTTATGCTGTGCTGCTTCTGATCTTCCACTACAGAGTAAATTCACCAGATCACCTTTTCAAAACCCCAAAAATTCTGAATTCTGAAATACGTCTAGGCCCAAAAACTTCAAAACTGTGAGAATGGAAGTACAAAGTTACTCACTGACTGCTAGCAGCCCATGTCAAGCCCTCCAGCCCGTTAACTTGAACTCACTCCTTTGTAGGAAGGACTGTCTTAAGTCTGGACTCTTGATGTAGTTTCCCAGCTGGTCTACCTGTCACTCATCCTGCTTCCCTCTCACAAACCCTCCCAACAGCAACGGTGCATCCCTCCTGACAAGCACGTCTGGTCACATTAACTTGCCTTAAAGCCATCAGAGGCTGCACTGCCCACCAAATAAAACTCAAACTCATTATGATGACATACAAAGCCCTTCTTACAGACTGGCTCAAACATCCCTTTTCAGTCTGACCTCCAACCACCCACCCCATGGACCCTGCACTCCGGCCTCAGCAGGATGCTTTTTCCCCAATAAGCAAACCTGGACACTGCTGGGTCTTTGCTCCAGCTGGCCCCTCACCCTGAAATCTGGCCCAGGGCACCCCCTGCCAGCCGCCCACACATCCTTTCAGGCCACTTCAGGTGACTGCTTCTGCAACATTGCAGACAAAGCCAGGCCTCCCTGTGGCTACACTCCCATAGCACTCTCTCCACACCATAACAGAATCTGTGGCCACACGCACCTGACTCCCACCTTCCTCCTTAGGAAAGAAGACTCTGACTTCTGTGCCCGTCACAGTGCTTGGCACATGCGTGAGGTTCAAGTGGCTGGATGGAAGACTGCTCACACTATTAGCGAAACCAGGGAGAAAGATGGTCAAAGCAGTAGCAAGAGTGTGAAGCATTACATTTTCCAAAGATGACCGCACATATCCCATTCCATACGCTCTTCTTACAAGTGACAAAGACAGTCCTGGCTCCAGAGTGGAGGGTCTGTGCTCCCTCCCTTTGGTTCTGGGAAGAAGAGATGCTATGTGACTTGGAGACTAACTCATAAAAGGCAGTAGTTTCCACCTGGTCCTCTTAAGATGCTTAATCCTAGGACCCTGCTACACGGACAGGACCCCGCTACACGGACAGGACCCCTCTAGGTATTCCAACTGACAGCCCCAGCTAAGGTCCCAGCTGACAGCCAGCATCAACTGCTAGACACGGGAGACGGCCCTCCAGATTATCCCAGCCCCAGCCATACCTGACTGCAACCGTGTGAAAGACCACAAGCAAGAACCACACAGCTGAGACGTTAATGAAATGATTCTGTTGCTGTAAGCCACTAAGTTCTGGGGAGATTCATTATGCAGCCAGCAGTACCTGAAGCGATGAGAAAAACAGAATCTAGACAATCTTGACAAGCAGGGCAAGAGTCCTCCCTGTCCTCTGTGCTCAGTTCAAAGTCCAAACACTGAGGCCCTGTCTCCACTCATGCCCCCTTCCTTATTAGATATCTACTCCTGCATAATAAATTACCTCGATATTCACTGGCTTAAAACAACAGTTATCACTTACTCTTTCTCACAGTTTTTATTGGTCAGAAATTTGGACAGTGCAGCACAGAGGGGAGGGATGTCTCTGCTCTACCATGCCTGAGGCCTTGCTGAAAGACTCGAAAGTTGAAGGCTAGACTCCCCTGGAGGCTCTCAGGTTCTCACATGTCTGTAGGATGATGTTGGCAGCAGCTGAGACGTTATTGGCAGGGGTGCTCGCTAGAACCCCTCTATGTGGCCCGGAAATGTACTGGAAGTGGTGGCTGCATTCCAAAGGTGAGTGTTCCAAGAAAGCGAGCAAGCCAGGTGGAGGTGTATCCTGCTCCTGATTCAGCCTTGGATCAGGTCTGTCTTACTCACTGGTCAAGGGAACCACAAGTTCCTATCCACATTCACGGGGAGAGAATCACAAACCCCACTACTGGGTGGGAAGTGGACAATGTCAAACAATAACTACATGTGGAAGGGGATACTTACGGGTGAGGCCCTTTAGGGAAAATACAATCTGCTACACCTTCCTTTTTAAGTAGAACAACTGTCCTTGATCCTGACCTAAGTTCCTAACGATATCATTATGAGACTGGCATGCAAGGCACAGACTCAAAACTGACTTCCATTTTCTAGAGTTTTCACAACTCCTTTAGGGAAGTGACACAGCCAATCCACACCACCAAGTACAAAGACATCTGCACCAGGGTGGGAGATGAGAAGTGTGTCTTTTCAGTACCAAACCCTTCGGCCAAAACCCAGGTGGCTCTGGGTGGGTGCTACCCACCCCTACGGGGCTCACTCAGTTTCTGAACCATTTGAAGGACTGCCTAGAAGCTGTGAGAGCCTTTCTAACACTCTGATGTCATGGTATTCTCCAGCCTATTTCCTTTATCTGGCAAAAAACGTTTCTAAACAGTAAGTGAACACCAGATAGTCAACTTCCAATCATGAGCAATAAAAGAGAAGTTATATTTAGCTTTAAAATTAAGTATAGAAGTGGAAGAAATGGTAACAGATTTTCCCTTCTATCTCTGCTTTGCTTAATGTTAAAAAGCACTACGTAAAAATTCCAGAAAATATAGACATGTCACAGATAATGGAAATCTAACTGAACTACTTTCATGTTCATTCTTAGACCTTGGCTGGACTCCTGTATCATGTACCAGGCCCATAATTTCAGGACGGAAAAAAAAAAGAAAAGTAGTCAGAGAAGATACACTAAATAATTCAAGGGTTTAGAGAATAAGACCTAGGAGGGAAAGGATACAGGTTATTCATCCTGGAAAAGAACAGCTAAATACAAGTACCACAAAAGGCATGAGGCCTGGGATTCAGAGGATCCAGCCAGCAAGCAAGGCAACTTTGGACAAGTCACTTGACCCACTCGTACCCTAGTTCTCTCATCTATAAGGTGACGGGGTTGATTTGGTTCATCACAAGGTACCAGTGCCTGGATACTGAGGATAGTGACAATTTCCCTAATGCCCCAAACAATAATGAGTTTCCCTTGTTACACAGGCCACTGAGGTCAGACATACTGCAGTGCTTTTAACAGTGAGAAGAAGACACAGAAGCAGGGATATGGGTGAGCTCAATGGTCCCCGGAATTGGGAAGGACCAGGACCCAGTGATTCCTGATGGAAGGCAGACCCTGGATGATGTGAGCATGTAAGAGCAAAGGCTACATGGCCTGAAAAAATATTGTAAAAGACGGAAAATAAAGTTGGACAACTTCTCAGCCAGTGATGTTCTAAAACAAAACAGTAGACCCGCTACAGCAGCAAGGGTTAACCAAAGTGAAGCTTCAGCCTTGCGGGAGACAGAGCCGGCCAGCCACAGTCCCTCTGCTCGAGTTTACCGGACGCGGGCACTGCACGTCCCGGGGCTCTCTACTCCACACACGTTAGCAAACAGGTAGGAAGAAAAGTTTTCTTGCCAACTCATTATACATATTTTTCAACACTGAGTCAACATTTCCTTTCTGCTGAGGAGAATCCACCTCTATTAACTTGGGGAAAGGCCACCCCCCCAGTCTCGCTCCGCAAACCCTCCGGGCACTCCCACCCCCTCCCTGCCCCGCACCCACGGACGCCCTGGGCCGAGTTTCACAACATCCTCCCCAGTCCGCGGAGCCCTCCCTCCCTCCAACAGCTGGAGGCCCGGGATTCCGAAAGCAGAAGCGGAGTTCCACCCTCCCGGCTCGGGAAGGGACTAAGGCGCAGCTGGGACCGGGTCGGCCCGGGCCGCTCCCCAGCCAAGCGCCCTCTCGCCAGCGCTCACGGGCACGGGGCTTTCGGGCGACCCGACGCCCCTGGGGCTCCCTCTCGGCGCCCGCGAGGCCTCCCCCGGTCAGACCTCCGTCCCCGGACCGCTACTCACCAGGGCCTCCCAACGTCCTGGCCCCGAACTTGGCCCGCCCGGGGGCGCAGGGAGCGAGCCCGGTGCCCAGGCGCTGCCGCGGCCGCCTCGCCTCTCGCCTGGCCAGCCCTTCCTGCGGCGCGCCGGGGCCGGACGGCCCGGGCGGGCAACGTGGCCCTTCCCCGGCAGGCGGGGCGGGGCGGGGCGGGGCGGACGGGCGGGCGGGACCCACCGCCCTCCGCGTCCCGCCCCCCGGCCGGCGTCCGCGGCCCCCTCCTCCTGGCCCGCCTCCTTTCCCCGCCGCTTCTCAGTCAACCCAGGGCCCAAGTTTTCCCAGGCCCCCAACTTCGGGAGTCGGCTTTCCCGCTCCCTGGCGCAACCCTGAGGGTGGACGCCCGACCCCACCCCTGCCCTCGGCCCCCCAGCGCAGCCGCCCTGCCTGGAGCCGCGCCTCAAGTGGGCCCGCGGTCCAGGAAAGGCGTTCACCAAACTCTAGGCCAAGGGCTGGGAGCCGGTGCCCCCGCCCCAACCCAGGGGAGGCTGAGGAGCCTGGGTGGGGGCCCCAGGGCGCGTGGGGCAAGGGCAGAAGAGGAACCAGGGTGCCCGACGCGGGGCCGGGGGAAAGCACCTGTGCCAAAGCAAGCCAGGGCCAGCTGTGGCTTCTTCCCTTTTGTTTTTCCTTTGTGGGTGGGGAATGAGAGCGTTAGTTCTAAGTAAAGAAAGCAGAGAGCGACCTGCCAGCAGGGTAGGCCCACCAGCCCTAGGCGGGAAGGACTCGGTCACAAGCTTTGGCGGGAGCACCATGGAAAAGCCCAGAACCGGTCTGCGCCTGGCTGGTGTTTTAAAGGGGAGGAAGGTGCGGAACTGAAGAGGAGGTGGAGGTGGACCCAGACCCACCGAGGGGAGGGAGGGACAGCTCTTCCATAGCAAATACCTGTGGCTGGGCCAGGAGCAAAGTCTGGCCAGGAGAAGGAGGAGAGACGCAGAAGACCACGGGCTCCGGCGCATAGAGCCTGTTTCGCCAGCGATCAGGTCTGAGGCCTGGATTCCACGAGGCCGGTGCAAGCCAGGAGCCAGCCCCACGCCCTCCCCCAGCTCCGTCCGGCCTGGCCCTCTGCCGAAGCTGGATGCCCACTCTCACCATGGGACCCCAGGTAATGAGGGTGGATAGCCGAAGGCTACTGGCTGCTGGGTAGCTGACTCCCCCTAGAAGGGCTGCTGCCATATGATCAGGACCCACGCCCCTGACATCAACCCCTCCCCCGTGTGCCAGAGCACGCAGCAGCCCGGAACTCTGAGGCCTGTGGTTACTGACTGCTCACGAACTTGTTTCTACATGAAACCACGAATCGTGCAGGGTTCTAGAGAAACAAAGGGCCCGGCGTACCCTGCAGGCCCCTGAGTGGAGGCGAGGACCTAAATCAAAACTGCTAAAGGGTTCCCAGGCATAGTGAGAGGCCTCAGGGGCCAAACCCTCCCTCGGGCTCTCCTTCAGGCCTCAGGAGCTCTGTGGAGTGGGCGTTATCATCCCCATTCTACAGATAACTAGTTTGAGGCTCAGGGTAAATGCCAACGTGCTGGAAGCCACAAGACCCAGTGGGGAGCATGGCCAGGTTTTAGACCGGGCACTCTTGCGCGCCCCCCCATCCACCCTCGTACACATCCTCCAGCGCCAGTATTCTAAGAGGGCTCTGTGTCCTTTCAGGCGCCGCCGTGAAGCCTCCGTAGAAGTGGCCAGAGCCCAGACCTGGAGGAGGAGCAGGAGAAGAGCAGGCCCACCGAGGCCCGTCGTGTGCAGTGTGCAGGAAGCCCGTGGCCTCCACTTTAGCTGACTGCGTGCACTGTGGCAGAAGCCTCGAGCCCAGGAGGGTGTGCCAGTCAGAGGCCAGTTGTCTGTCACCTCTGCCTTATGTTTCTCTAATGAACAAGAGTCAGGGGCCTGGGGGCTCTGCACACTCACACTAGGTGTCAAGCGTAAAGGAAAAAACAATTATGTTTCCTAAAAGTGAAAAGGCTGGGAAACACTGTTTTGTAGATCCAAGACATGAGGAGCCAAAATCACCTTCCAGGAGAAAGGACAGACATCAAGGGGGTGCTGAAAGGTGGGGGAAGATCAGCCCATGAGATGTCAGATTCCCACCACTAACCCTGATACTTCTCCATCTGAGGCAGGTGAAGGGGAAACAGTATGAGGGCTGTTTGTGCACTGTAACGCACACCCCCTCTCTACCACCCTTTGTTTAAATCCCAAGGCTCACAAGAAAATCCAAAAGGAGAAATTCCCAGACTGCAAGAGACCATCTCAAAAAGAAAGGGCCTGGTTAGAGAATCAGAATGGGCGTGATGGAGGCAAAAGAAAGCACTTGGTCTGAGAGGCAAGAAACCAGGGTAAATGAGTGCCAAACTGACCTGGGTTTGAAAAGAGGCTCTGAACTCTTGATAGAGGTTACATGGGGAGCAGTGATTGGGGGTAAGAAGGATAGAAACAAGGGCCCAGGATTCTGGGGGTGGGCCTGGGATTGGATTATGTGCAAAAGGAAAAAACAGGAGGATAAACAGTCACAGGATTAAGCCAGAATTAGGAGGAACAATACTCTCCTGCCCATTCCACCACCAACAAAAGAGAATGAAAAGATGAAAAGGAAGTGAAAACTGTTCCAGGAAGTTGCTCTCCCATAAACCATGCCCAAGATCCCTGATATTTTTTACAATTTGGAAAGAATTCATGCCCTTAAATTAAAACATATGTTGGCTTGAAAACATCAGTAAAAGTAAAAGCAGGCCAGGTACGGTGGCTCATGCCTATAATCCCAGCATTTTGGGAGGCCAAGGCAGGCAGATCACAAGGTCAGGAGTTCGAGACCAGCCTGGCCAACATAGTGAAACACCATCTCTACTAAAAATACAAAAATTAGCCAGGTGTGGTGGCATGCACCTGTAGTCCCAGCTACTCAGGAGGCTGAGGCAGGAGAATTACTTGAACCTGGGAGGCGGAGGTTGCAGTGAGCAGAGACCATGCCATTGAACTCCAGCCTGGGTGACAGAGTGAGATTCCATCTCAAAAAAAAAAAAAAAAAAAGTAAAAGCAAATGTTTAAAATCAATGTTTTGTTTCCCTTCTTCCTGCCTCCCAATCTCTCTGTTTGCCACTCTCCCTCACCCCACAATGGAGACCCAGAAATTCATCTCATCCAGGTCAAAGAGGAAAGATTAACATAATAATCACAACAATGTCTGTGAAATGTAACTTTTGGTTAGCCACCTACAATTCCTTTTGGAATAAAGAAGGATATAAATAATTGAGTTAAAATACACACATGGCCGGGCACCGTGGCTCATGCTTGTAATCCCAGCACTTTGGGAGACCAAGGCGGACAGATCACCAGGTCAGGAGATGGAGACCATCCTGGCCAACGCGGTGAAACCCCGTCTCTACTAAAAATACAAACAATTAGCCAGGCATGGTGGCGTGTGCCTGTAGTCCCAGCTACTTGGGAGGCTGAGGCAGGGGAATAGCTTGAACCTGGGAGGCGGAGGTTGTAGCAAGCTGAGATCGCACCACTGCACTCCAGCCTGGCGACAGAGCAAGACTCCATCTCAAAAAAAAAAGAAAAAGAAAAAAAAAGAAAAGAAAAGAAATACACACACACAGTCTGGTGAAGTCTATCACTGCTCTTGGCTAAGTAGCCTGACACCTGCTGAGTGCCATGCCCTGGCATCCTGGTGCCCCTGTGAAAAAGCCAACGGTTGTCTTGAAAGGCCTGTCTCATGGAAGGGTCAGGTGGAGGGCGGAGGGTGGGAAGGTCAGGGAGAGGAAAGCTTGCTCACTTTAAGGAGGAAAGGTTCCACCAGAGAGGCTGTCTGGCGGGTACAGAGCTTCTCTCCTGGAGGTCTGCAGGACCTAGATGGCCTTTGTCAGGTCAGATGCTGTGGAAACAGCACAGCCCTGGGAGGTGATTTCAGTGCCGACCACTCTACCCTTAGGCAAACCCTTCCCACTCAGGGCTTCCGTAGCTTCCCCTCAAACTGGGAAAAGAATCCCTGCTGTGTTCTCCTCACAACAAAGTGGTGAGGGAAACCGGACAAAACAGATTGATGGATGACACGATAGAAGCACTACGCAAATACACAACTCCCTGGTACCTGGGATCCCAGAGACGGCTGAGGCGGCACCGTGGCATCACATGTCCCTGAGGGACCACTGTGACCCGTGTCTAAGCAAAGACCGACACCAGAAATGTGCTGGGTGAAGCTGGGGAAGGTGGCATACCCACCTTGAGACCCACACCTTATAAAGGAACAGCCTGGCCTCAAAGGGGCTGCCCCAGGCATCAAATCAGAGGAGAAAGAACAGCTTGGGAGCAGCAGCTCCACCCAGGCCACAGCCCACTGCTCAGGCCGCTGGAGGGAGTGAGGAAAACTCCTGTGGCAAAAAAGGAAAGATTGGGGAAGGCGGTGGAAGAAAAAAATTTAATACGGAAAGTAAGGCGTAAGTACAGGATTTTCAGTTTGCAGATGAACCCACTGGCACCCATCCATCCTCATGGAACATGTGAGGCCTGGGTGTTACTGAGCTAGGGAGAGGCAGAGACTGCCAGAAGCCAGGCTTCCTGCCCTTTGCCCAGGCCACCACATCCTACTGTCTCTCAAAATTCCCAACACTGTGCTCCACCTCTCCTTTCTGCTGTGTGTGGTCACTGGGAAAAGCAGGCATCTTGGCACGGGTAAACTGGAATTGAAGGAGGGAGCAGACAGGAAGTGAGAAGATAAAGACAAACAGGGCTGCTTTTAGTGGGAATACAGCCTGAGAAAATACAAAGGGCAAAAAGATGTCAGTCTGGAAAACAACGTCATCTTAAAGAGCTGGAAAGATAACAAGGATATGGCACAGGAAGGCAAAGACCACCACTCACTCCAAGAAATGCAGTACCAATTCCTAGCCAGACACTTGCCCTCAAGGCTTAGGCATCCCTCCACCCCCTCTTTAATCAGCTACCTCAAAGGGGCACACTGAAATTGGACTGGAGAGCCATAAGGACCAATGTAGTATCTGCAAGAATCTTCAATCCAAGCTCTCCTTGGATCCATTCGCCTGTTCTACAACTTGATGATCCCAAGTACTGCTTAACAACAAGATGATGAAACAAATTCAGGCTTTTAACTAAGGACATCTTCTTAGGCTTCTGCCAGCACACTACTATTTCAACAAGAAAAGAGAACTCCTGATTCAGAATTGTTTCTGCGCTTTTAAGGCACATGTAGCAATATCAATGTTATTGTTTCCTATGTACATGGCCCGGGATACTTTTCAAAATCCTTCATTGTTTCATTCGCTCCTTGTAACAACTTGTAAGGGACCTGGAAAGTCAGTGTTCCCCATTTTGTAGGTGAAGAGAACATGGCCTGTGTAGGGTTGCACACTGACTAAAAAAGTCAAAGCTAGAACACAAGTACTCCTTCCTGATTCCCAAACCTGTGTTCTGTTCCTCTGCTCTCTTCCTGAGCTTTCATGGGCTAAGCTCCTGTTATAGAAAGAGGAAGAGAGACAATTTAGGAGGTGATCTAGACCATTCCCGCCTTCTCCTCCCACCAGCAGTCCTTTTCAGTTAGCTCCCCAAAACAGAGCAGCTGCCTCTGCCTAGGTAATCCATTCCAGTCTTAACCCAGACTGACTTGGAATCCTATTATCTCAGTGTTGGAGGGGCCTTTAAAGGTAATCTAATCCAACCTCCCTTCGGAAGCCTGAATTATTTTCATGTTCTCCTTGGCCGAACCTCTCAACTGCCAATGCTCACAATCCCTTCCAAGGCACTCATCCAGCCTGGGTAAGGACAGGTGGGGAACAGGTCTACACCCGGACAGAGTAATGGAGAGGTGTAGCTTCCAGTGCACCCATCTGGATAAGATTTCCGGAATAATAGCCTCTGCAAACTCGCCCGCTCAACAACTTCTGCACACGTGCAGTAAGACATTACATGGGAAATGAGACAGGAGCCTTACCTTTCCTCTTGTCTCAGTTGCTCCCCAGGAGATCATCAAACCCCCATTCAGCACTCCATTTTCAAAACTGAGAATCCCAAATCAGATCCACCAAAGTGCAGCTTCTCTCTTCTTATCCAGGTCCAAAGTCCATGGCTGAGCTGACCCTGACGGGGAGGAGTCTGGGGGGGAAGGGGTGCGTCCAGGCCCCTCCCCCCCCACTGCAGACTTCAGTGCCCCTCTCAGGGGTCCGTTACCTCCCTTCATTCAGCTGCCTTATTAAGCTCAGAGTCTGGTGATGGGCAGATCCCAGATACTATCCCATCTCTTGCTCAGGCAGGGGAAGTTATCCACTGTAAGAACGGACCCATCTGTCTTCTGCGGAGGCTCATAAGAAACAGGCCTTAGAAGCCGCATGGCCCAGGTGGCAGATTTTCGTGTTAACCTGCAGAACATTTAAACATTATAACACTCTCTAATCTAGCACATACCCAGATAGAGTCCTAAAACCTTCTAGTTTCCACTCCCCACCCAAGAGTCCATACTAGACTCCATCATCAAAAAACTTTAAACACTCCACAAGGTTATACAAAGCACCTACTTAACTCACGTATCGCACGCCAGAACACAGTCACCTCATCAATAGTGTGTTTATATACAAACACATATAATATGAACATTATATATGTACAAATATATACATGATTCAGGATAAAAGATGGGTCGTACCCATTCTTGCCACAGAAAAGTAACCGGAGACTGTCATCTAAGAAATCGAGAAAAGAACGCCCTTTCTCCTGCCCGCCTGTCTAAAGCCCAACATAATAATCGAATCTCCCAAGCTTCTTAGGGTGCTAAGTGTTTTAATCCACCAGCCCTCTTCAACTAAACTAATGAATCCTTTCCAGACCGAGATGTTGGCATCTTCTACGTGCATTCTTTGCTCCTTTTCCTTCAACTAAGCTCCCCCTCCGCTTGCAAAACTGTGCCAGAGATATAATTCCCAACCTCTGTTAAAGTCCTTCCCGGGGCTACTCCCGAGAACACTCTCCTGGAATGTTTAAGGCCCAAGTCCTGCTTGCAGCAGCCCCACAGTGTTCCTATTTCTCAGCCCGGATGTCGCCCCATCCCCTCCAAGTTTATTCCTAAACACACATCCCCACACAGACACACACTCTCTCCTTTCCTTCCTGTAGGGGCGTGGCGTCCACATGACCTCCACCCCCTCCAAGAATTTAACTCCTCCCACCCTTCCCCCCGGAACCCCGTGCCCCGTGTTCACAGGAGAAGGGGGTGACACTGCAACCCTCCCTGGACTCCGACCCCCACCCGGCCGCCCTGCGGACGACCCTCGCCCTAACTGAGCCGGCTCGTTACCTGGTTCCCACCCGCCCCGCCTCGGCTAGGAGCCGCGGCCCGCCCGGCTAGCAATCCAGGGCCCAGGCCCGATCCCCAGCGCCGGCCCAGGCCCCACCCCCTCGACCCCCAGCGGCCCGGCCCTCCCCTCGCACTCCTTCCCCCTCCCACCATCCGCCGCCGCCACTTCCGCCCATCCTCCGGAAGTGGGCCCCAGCACCGCGGCCTCCCACATCCCGCCCATTTTTCTACCCCACGTCCCCAGCCCTTCTCCACCGCCACCACGGGAGCGAGGGAGGTGGGTCTGCAGGGCCTGAGATTGTTCTACAGCCACTGTTCACAAGGCTGAAGGGCAGGTGTGGGCAGAACCGGGTTGTGAGAACGAAGCCGGGCGCAGAGTGGCGGCCGTACAGGAGGGGGAAGGGCAGAAGAGCCTGGCCAGCGGCGGAAGCGCACGGCAGGTGGAGGCGCGCGGGAAGCAGCACGCATGCGTCGCGGGGGTTTGGCCCTTGGGCTGCTGGGCGGGGCTTGGGCGGGGCGAGGACGCTAAAGTGGGGGCGGAACCTGTGCGGGGCAGCCCTGCCCTTTGCCTCCGCCCAAAGGTCGCCCAGCCACAGCGCGCTTGACCCGGCTTCTCAAAAAGGGTGGGGGCCTCCGTGCTGGTCGCGGGTTCCGGCGCGAAGCCTTTCGGAAAGCTCCGCGGCCTGTGTGTTCTGCTTCCTCGGACGCGAGCTGTGTCCCAGTAGTGGAGGAAGGTTTTATTTCGTTCGTCGCGGCCGTTTCTCGCTGCCTCCCTTGACGAGGCAGGGCCCTCGCGCGGTGCGCCCGCGCTGCGCTCTGGCCGGTGCTGTTGGTCCCTGTGGCCGGACCCGCCGAGGCTGCCGGGAGGAGGGCGGCCTGGCCGTTCCCGGCGTGCCCCGGGCTCCTCGGAAGCGGCCTCCGCTCCTTCAGACGTCGGACCCGAGTTCCACATGTGTCCCCGGTTTTCCCTCACCCTGGATCCTAGGAGCCGCCTCTCGTTTCTGAAGTGTCTGGGCAGCGCTCTCCCCACATTTTCGAGAATCGTACCAGGACTGGGCACGGGTTTGCCGCCTCCGTTTTGCCCCCGCTTTTCGAACGCCGGAATCTCGGCCCGGCCTGCCGGCCTGCGTTCTGTGGTGGGATGTCTCCGGGGCACGGACGGACTGGACATTCCCGTTACTGGGAGTGTAATGGTTGCTGCGTCAGGACTCTTGAAATGATTTTTTTATTTGGAACGATACCATAATATTTGGAATTTTCTTAAAGGAGAAAATATATATTGCTTAATTATATTGCTTGGAATATATTATTCCAAGGAAGAAGAAAGTAAGACCGTTTCTTCCCCCACCTCCAAACCCGCTCCGCCCGCCTGCCTTTCCCGTCAGCATTAATGGCGGCTCCATTTACTCAGGCCAGAGCCGGAAGAGCCAGCTTCGCCCTCTCGCACCCTCGACACACCCTGACTGGAAATCCCGTTGACGCTGCCTTCAGTCTGTGTCTAGGATGCAGCACCTCAACATGTCCGCACCCCTTCATCCCTCGCCTGAGCACCTCGGTCTCCCTGCCCTCCCTACGCTCCCAGTCGCCGGGTTTCCATACAGCAGCCGCAGGGATCCTGTGGGTTCTGTGCTCCACGCTGCACAGCGGCTCCTCAGTTTACCAGAGTCCTTACAATGGCCGCAGAGCCGGACAACCCGCTGGTTGCCCGGCTGTCTGACTTGCTGTCCGCGTCCTCTGGCCTCTGCACTGGCTGCTGTCTACTTGTAAAACCCCCGTCCAGGCGTGTCCAGGACTGACCCCTTCAGCTCTTTCAAATCTTCACTTCCACGTCACCGCAGTGAGGCCTTTCCTGACCAACCTATTTAAACGTGGCCCTGACCCAGAGCACTGCTAGTCTCCCTTGGCCTGCTCCACTCTTCCCACGACACTCACTCACCACCTCCCAAAATACTCGCCGTGTTTACCGTGTATTGTCTGTCTCCCGCTACTAGAATTTAAGTTCCCTGAGTGGAGACACGTTTGACTTTTGATTGCCTGCTGTATCCAGGTGCCTGCAACAGTTGCCTGGCACATAGTAGCAGCTCAGCACACATTTGTGGAATAAATGAACGAATGAATGAACTTGAACAACTATTTTCATTGTAGAGTATTCCCCTTCAGGCTTCTCTCACATGGAAATATATGAACATAGTTACAAGTACAGTATACATATTTTGCATTATGATTTCTAATCATACCATAGAGACTACATATTTCTAAGTATTTTCATAATTATAACCATTTTTAAGTGACCTTCGATTTTTCATGCTTGTTATAACAAGTCATACAGAGTTATGTAAACAAAAAATTGTCTCCTGTCCGCCTCTCATCCCACCCTGCTTAAAGAAACCACTGTTTTAAACTAGTGGATATCTTTCCAAATATTTTTTATACACACTCGCGCGTGTGTGCACACACACATAACAGGTACAAATTTCACAGTTCAAAGACAGATATTCCTGAATTATAACTTTATTTTCTATAATTCGAGTCAATTTGTATTTTAGGTCTTTCCTCCCATAGTAGAAAAATGAAATCTAGTTTATTTAAGGTAAATATTAGTATGTAATGATGTTTATTTATTAATGGTCAGTTACAATTTCAGTTGCTTCAGAATTTACTAATGCCTTTCTCTCCTTTTCACCATATAATTGCCAGTTTTAAAACGTTGTTATCAAAAAATGTGCAATAATTACAGGAAAATAGAAAATGATAAAATAAAAAAGCAAAAACCACCTGTAACACCAGCAGCCAGAAATAAGCCTATGAAAAATATACTTCTATGGCATTTTTAATGACCAAGTGGCATACTATTATACAAATGTACCATAATTATCCCCCCTATTTTTGTACATTTGGGTGGTTTTCAACTTTTCACTTTTGCAAAATTACTTGTAGCTAAATCTATGTGCACGTCATTTTTTTTTTTAAGGATAAAGTCCAGGAACTCATGTCAAAAGGGGTGCTCGTTGTTGAAGGCGTTTAATTAATGTGAAATATATAGAAAGACGGCACAGCTTCGACATCAACTTTTCTCCACACCCTGCACTATCACACCATTTTTTGTCATCTTTGTTAATATGATAGAACAGTGGTTTCGCATTGTTGTTTTAGTAATTGTTGTACTAGTAATTGTTGTTGTACTAGTAATTCCACTAATTACTAGTAATGTTGAACCTGTTTTTATGCATCACTTTTGCAGATTGCCTGCGCATATCTTTTGCCCACTTGGATTCATCTTTGTCTTATTCATTTGCAAGAACTCTTTATAGAATATCAGCCCTTTGTTACCTATGTTACAGCCATTTTCCCAGTTTGTCATTTGCTTTTTAAGTCTGTTTACATGCAATTTTGATATTGCATAGTCAGCGCTAGCTGGGCCAAAAGTCTGGTCTTGCTGTACATTCTCTGCCTTCAGAATAAACACTTAGGAGTAAGCTAGAGATTTTTGTTATCAGTTACTCCACCTGGAGAACCAGCAGGTGGAGTCTCCGTGGTCAGTGTGTCAGACTGTCATTTGGATTGGGGGGGCGAAGAGGGACTGGACATCTGGAGAATATGGTTGTTGGGCTGTTTATACAGGTGGACCCCTCTTTCCTATGGAAGCCTCGCATCTACATCAGAGGCAGCAGGAAAATGGCCTCCGCTGTCTTCTGCCTTTCACATCTAACTCAAGGGCACCTGAGTGGGTGAACCTAATTGCGAGGGAGTTAGATGTGTGACCTAGTCATCGAGAAAGAAGGTAGCCAGAGGGCCTACGTACAGTCCCCACCAAACTTAAGTCTCAGGGCTTCCCATCCTGGCTTGTTGAATTATCTATTCTGGCAGCTGTTCTAGTCAGTACAGCTGATAGTAAATTTTAATAACTGGCAGTAAAAGTCTTCCCCCAGTGACCTTGATTTTCAATGTTTTCTTGGCCATTTTCACACATTTTTTCAGGTATATATTTTTTCACAGTATTTATTCAGATGATAATTGCAATTCATTTCAGAAACTGGATATCTCTTGTAATTTCCTGGGCTTCTCCTTACCCTGGCAAGTATTCTTTGTGCTTTTTTTAGTCTGAAGTCTGGTAGGTACAAAATACAAAAGTTAGTGTATTTGCTATTTGTTAGGTGCCCTTTCATCCTGGTATTTTAAAACTCTGGCCCATAAAGAAACAACCACACTCACTTCCTCCCTCAATGTTATTGTGCCTCTTGGCAGCTTCTGACATTGTCAGCTGCTTCCTTCTTCTGACACACTTCTGACTCCCGTATCAGCATGCTCTTCTGGGTTCCCCCTCCTCTGGCTGCTCCTCCTCAGCTTCCTGACAGGCTTCTCCCTTTTATCCCTTTACCCAGTACTTGCTGTGCAAATGCTGAGTTCCCTAGGGCTCTTTCCTGGGCGCTTGTGTCTTCTCATTTTACACTTTCTTTCGAGATGATCCCACAGAAGTCATATGGCTTCCAGTATCCACTCCATGTCAAAGATATTCCTCTGTTTCTATTGCTTATAACAGAGTATCTGAAACTGGGGCCAGGCGCTGTGGCTCACACTTGTAATCTCAGCACTTTGGGAGGCCGAGGTGTGTGGGTCACGAGGTCAGGAGTTGAAGACCAACCTGACCAAGATGGTGAAACCCCATCTCTACTAAAAACAAAAATTAGCCGGGCGTGGTGGCAGGCGCCTGTAATCCCAGCTACTCAGGAGGCCGAGGCAGGAGAATCACTTGAACCCCGGGGCGGGCGGCGGTTGCAGTGAGCTGAGATCGTGCCATTGCACTCCAGCCTGGGCGACAGAGTGAGACTCCGTCTCAAAAAATAAAAAAAAAAAAAAATTAAAAATTAAAAACAAGGAATATCTGAAACTGGGTAATTTATAGAGAAAGGAAATTTATTTCTTACAGCTCTGGAGGCCGAGAAGTCCAAAGTTGAGGGGCTGCATTTGGTGAGAGCCATCTTGCTGGTGGGGACTTTGCAGAGTCCTGAGGGGTTGAGGGCATGACATGGCAAGGGGGTGAGCGTGCAAAGGTGCTAGCACAGGTCTCTCTTCCTCTCTTACAAAGCTGCCAGTTCTCCCATGATGAATTCATTCATTAGTGGGAATACAGCCTTCATGATCCAATCACCTTTTACAGGCCCCACCTTGCCATGGTGCCACTTTGGAAATTAGATTTCAACATGAGTTTTGGAGGGAACATTGGAACCATGGCAGCACCTAAATATGCCTGCTGAAGCCCCTTCTCTGTGCTCCAGGCCCACGTGTCCAGTTCCCTGCTTGCCCTCCCAACTTGGTCCCCTCACAGATGACTCACGTGTCCAAAGCGAAATTTGCAGTGCTCCTCCCGGCTCCTCTCTCAGCAGTCCCATTCTCAGGAAATGGCAGGCCAGACGTCTTCCACCACATTCCCACATCCAGTCAGTCAAAAGCCCCCAGAAGTTTGTCTCCAAATTATTTCATGGCTCTTTTCCCCCACCCTCTCCTTTGACCTGGTCAATACTCTCCTGAAACTCCTTCCTCTTTTTCGTCTCTCTTCATGTGTCATTCATTAGATCCACTAAGATCCGCCCCTAGAAGGAGAGGGTGGACTTTCCTGGAACACTGAAGACAAATTTCCCTCTTCCCCCTTTTCATGTTCCCTGTGACTTTTTAAATTAAAAAAAAAAAAAAAATCTTTTTTGTTTTGGCCCTGAGTTGCACCGTAAATACAGGACTGAAGATGATGCGACGAGCCCAGACATCGCCATGGCTAAGGTGTAGAGCTGAAGACTTTCTATGTGTCATAAGGAATTCTAGCAAAACCCGGAATACTCAGCAGGAACCTGGAATGGGGTTGGGGTGGAGGACACAGAAATTTCAGTTCAGTTCAGTCATGGGATAAAAGTTACCTCAGTCCCCTAAAAAAATCACAGCACTGTCTTGCCTCATTTCACAATGAAGTATGTGTGCTCCTGCCTTATTCATTCCTTGTATGGTTATTTTAATTATTTTTATTTTGGAGCCGGGTGCGGTGGCTCACGCCCGTAATCCCAGCACTTTGGGAGGCTGAGGCGGACGGATCACCTGAGGTCAGGAGTTTGAGACCAGCCTGGCCAACATGGTAAAACCCCATTTCTACTAAAAATACAAAAATTAGCCCGGCATGGTGGCACATACCTGTAATCCCAGCTGGTAGGGAGGCTGAGGCAGGAGAATCGCTTGAACCCGGGAGGCGGAGGTTGTAGTGAGTGGAGTACGTGCCACTGCATTCCAGCCTGGGTGACACAGCGAAACTCCATCTCAAAAATAAATAAATAATAAAACATATTTTGAACATTTCTCCACAATTAGATTATGAGCTTCTTAAGGACGTTCTGTTTACCTTAAAAGAATCATACATTTCTGTATTAGTTGAATTCAATGAATATTTATGTGTGGGCTCAGATCCTGGCTCCTCTCATTTCCGTGGACTCCAGGGATCTGGTTTCCTCTTCATACAGCGAGGACAGTGAAACCTGGCCTTCACCCCGGCAAAGCTCTCATGAGGATCAGGTGAAACCATGTGTGTGGGAACCCTTTTAAAACTGCAAAGAGCTGCATACACATCTGAGGGCTTTAGGTTCGCAGATGCAATCGGAAGGCGCCGGCGCTGCTAGGCATTGAGCTTCCAGGGGGCACTTGGTGGAGAGCCCGGCACTCTCCTCCCTAACGAACCAGTTCGCATTTCCCTCCTGGCCTCTCCTTTTCAGGGCCCCTAAGGAGTGATCTTCACAGAGAAAGCCAGTCTGTTTAAACGATATTGGAAGTTCTGAATACCACCAGGTCTATTTTTTAAGTCTGAGTTTACATTTAAATCAGGAGCATTTGTCCAGGTCAGTAATTTTTCAGCCCAGCTCCTCCAGAGGGGGCGTGTCCATTACCAGTGAGAATTTGAAACCTTCCTGACGCCAGGAGGCTGAGGTTTTCCTGCACTGGCCTCCACTTGTGTGTGGAAGGGCAGGGGCGGGGCGGCAGGGAGGCAGGAAGAGGGGTACAGAGGGAGAAGGGTGGGAGAGAAAGGTCAAGGAAGCACAGTCATAAATAGAAGTGTCTTTTGCCTTCAAGATATTTCAGGTCACACGGAGAAAGGAAATTCACTCTTAAGAAATAACAAAGAAACAAAAGACTGAAGTCGGTTCAGAAGTGCTGACATAAAGACCGGTTTGGAGGGCAGTAAAATTAATCAGGATTGCCTCCTGGGAGTAGGTGCGTCAGCACAAGGTCCTGAAAGCAACCAGGGGAGAAAGGAGCTCCTGGTTTGGGGATCATAAATCCCTTTTCGAGAACAACCAAACTCCAGTATGAGTATTTAAGCTCCTTGTCATCTAAGCTGGGTCTGGGGTCAGGAGCTTGGATTCTGGTCCTCATTCCAGCGTCCAGCTCATCACAGGCCCTGAGCAAATTCTTTACTCATCTCCTTGTGCAGGAACAGCTGAAAAGTACTTTGGGAAAACTAGTTTTAACTATTACTCCCAAACCTTAATTAGAACTGTATAATTCTTTATCTTTTGTGAAATGAGTTTTAAGCCAGAACAACCGTTGTAATTATTAGAAACATTTTAAATAATTGTCAGTAATAATCTTCATTAATCATAAAAAGGGAAACACATCTATTAATCTTTCGAAGCACAGTTCTCTGATCTTTTGCCAGGCGTATGATTCACTCTTTTCTGCCTTATTTTGTGACAGAATGTGGTCTGTATGGGCCCCCACTCAATATCAACACAGGACGCCTTCCAAAACAATGCAAGAATGTAGGTTCAAGACTGTTTAACGCCCCAGCAAGCACTCATTAGTGGCATTCAAGGCAAGTTTTTTAAAAAAGCGGGGGCGGGCACAGGCTGCTGGGGGTTAATAACTTAGTACTGTGCTTGCCACCGCCCAGTTGTTGCTGGTTTGTGGCAATCACAGCTGCATTGTGTCACACCACTGATTAATTCCCAGGAACTGCTAAGGGCTGACCTTTTCAGATGACTGACCTGACTAAAGAAATCAAACCCATTTGAGGTCATGTCTGTGGGCACAGCAAGCTGACTTGCTTGCATTCTGCCATGCCTTCTCGAGTGGGTGAAAAACAATTGGAATTTCAGTGAGGAACTGGATGTAATATATGCAGTGGCTCAGATCTACTCAGCTGCAACCCAGGTGAGGAGAATATTCCAAGTAAGAAAAAACATGATTTGTCGTTTTCTGGGCTTTGGCACTATATAGATCACCACAGGCAGTTTGTTCCAGGGTAGAGGTCAGGGATGGCTGGCCTGAGGGACACAGAGACCCCAGACTCATCTCCCTCCCTCAGCCCAGGGCAGTAGCTCTCCCTTCAGTCCTTGGTGTCCTCAGACTTTATTACCAGCTCAAATGCCACTCTCCTCGAAACCGCAGTTCAAATGCCACTCTCCTTGAAACCGCAGTTCAAATGCCACTCTCCTTGAAACCGCAGTTCAAATGCCACTCTCCTTGAAACCGCAGTTCAAATGCCACTCTCCTTGAAACCGCAGTTCAAATGCCACTCTCCTTGAAACTGCAGTACGCTGTCAGCATGAGTTTTCGTTGCTCTGTATTGGAATTCACTGTGGCACGGCTGTCCCTGGCTTTCCTCCTTTTCCTATTTCTCAGCCCCACAGCAGTGCCTTGAGAGGACTTGGGTGGATGTGCAGCAGCTGCAGGGATGAAGTAGACGGGAGCAGCCATGGAAGAAACTCCGGTGTCAGTGACGCACTGTGAGGAGGTCTTCCCAGGGAGGCTGTGGAATCAAAATGTTAAAATGGGGTAGAAAAAAAGGGAGCTACAAGATGAAGATTTTGCCTACCACATTTTGAGAAAATTTGAACAGATAAGTGATACAGTGAATGAGGCAGGACTTTCGGCGAAAATCTGAGTAAAATTTGTAGATTCCAGTAAACGAAATCCCTAGAGAAGAGATGCAGCCAAGAGAATGTTAGAAACTTGGTTGCAAACTGTACAAGTTTGAACTGAGAGGGCCAAGTTTGTGGGTTAAGAGAAAATAGAAAAATAGGCATCCCAAGAAGGATACATTGTTTTCCTGTTAAAGAAGTAAGGAAGTACAATTGGAAAAGTATGGGAATGAGTGAGTTTAGGCCTACACAGAGATGCCGCAGCACACTGGTTATTTGCCTTGGGTTCAAATGCCAACTGTACAGCAATGCTGTGTGCCCACAGGCAAATCTTAACCTCTCTGTGCCTCAGTTTCCCCATCTGCCGCATGGAAGATTTAGAATGGCCACCTCATGGTATTATGAAAATTGGAAGAGTTGTCAGGAATGGTGTGTGGCACATAGTACTGTTATTATATTGTTTTATTATATAACATAATTTATATTATTATGTATTATATATTAAATATATAAATATATAAATTATATAAATAAAATATAACATAATTTATATTATACATTATATATAATATAACAATTTATATTATTACATTATAATATAAATTATATGTTATATATAAAAAATAATAAAATTTGAAATATCTAGTGTCATTTATTTGGAATAAAAGAGGGAACTTTATGGATAACCTGATCAAATCCTCTGTAATTCCACAGATGAGGAAACACAGTGTCATTATATGATTTTATTAATCACTGCAGACTCATTTTATTCTTTGGGTCATCCTTAAATGGCTTTCATTTCCTTACACCTTGTCTTCCAGTATGATTCTTGAATGCAAGAACTTGTGTCTTAACTGTGTGCTCCTAACAGTGTTAGGCACACCTAGCAGAACTTAAATACTGGCTAGATTTTTTTAAATACAAAATTTCAGATTTATCCCAGTGGCAACCGTTTACACATTAACAATGATTAGGGTTTTTTGTTTGTTTTTTTAAATACCAGTTTGCTTTGAGTTTTTTAAAACTATAATGCCAGTTTAAAAGATCCAGATGGCCCTGGCAGAAGAGTCTGGATGAGTAAGTGTTAGCAGAGGGTGAGAAGGCCTCCGAAGGAATTGTGGCCGGGCAGAGAGAGAGAGAAACGGTGAAGAAAGCCTCGGTGCTTTGGAAGGAGGCCCGGCGAGGCCCTGGAGCCCAGCCCAAGGTCCTGGCTGCCAAAGGCTTGGAGAAGCCTTCTCCAGGAGGTGACGCTTATCCTTGCCTCTAGCTAAGGTCAGAGGAACAGCCCGAAGAGGAGGAAGGCAGGGAAGAGTGCAGCGCTTCATGATAACATCGGTGTGTGAGCAGTTTCACACACTAACTGATTTTCTGTTGAGGGATGGGGTGTAGGATGGGAAAAAGAAGAATAACAGGAAAAAACCAAGCCCAAGGTCCTGATTCTGAGGGATGGACAGACCTGGCCTCTGTGGGGCAGGCAGTGGGCTTTGATGGAAAGGAAGAGTCTGGTGGGCGGGTGGAGAAGGGTGGGGGCAGGTGGGGGAGGGTGGGGGTTAGAGTGTGGCCTGAATCTGGTCTCATGAAACTTCTGTGAGTGTGAGTGTGTACACTGGTGAATTTGGTCTCATGAAACTTCTGTGTGTGTGTTTACACTGGTGAATTTGGTCTCATGAAACTTCTGTGTGTGTGAGTGTGTACGCCGGCTGATGGTCCTCCTGACCTGTAATCATGGTCCACAACGCCTGAAAGCCCCTGATATGATCATGAAACTTGCAGGGTGTTCTTTGTGAAAACTATGTTGGGTCAACAGCCAGGTGTTAGTTTCACACTCAGAGGTGAGAGAAAATCACTCTTCTGGAACCACCCTACCTTTTCATTGAGTCTATAGTCCCAGCATGTGGGTTAATGGAAAATAGAAAAATAGGCATCCCAAGAAGGATACATTGTTTCCCGTTAAAGAAGTAAGGAAGTACAATTGGAAAAGTAAGTATGAGAAAGAATGAGTGTAGGCCTACACAGAGATGCCGTGGCACACTGGTTATCTGCCTTGGGTTCAAATGCCAAGGAAATGGCAATGCTTCATTTAATTTGGGTTTCCCAGTTTTCGTTGGTTGTAATCACTTTCTAAAAGCACACACTAGACACATCGTTGCGTGGAGTCTTAGGCGATAAGTGCTGATGTGGGGCAGGAGGCACTGTCCGAAAGGCCTTGTGAGTTTTTCATTTCTTCCTTTAAAGGGAAGGTTTCTCGACTTTGAAATCCTTGGAGATTACTTGACAGAAGTCCTCAGAGCCACGCCAATGGCTTTGAAAGATTTATAACTTCCCTCATGTGCTGAATATATGATGCTCTTACTTAGGAAGAGGAAGAAAATATGTTTACAGTTTCACTTTGAGCTTTAAAAAATTCTTATAACAATTAGCTCTGGATTCAGAAATTATAAATAAAACTGTTTTATTGTCCAATTTACTGAAACATTGTGTCCTTTAATGTTTTAGTCTTTATTGGTCCAGGGATTTAATTTTAATCTTGCATTTTTTTGTAGAAAACAGCTTATGGGCCGGGCGCGGTGGCTCAAGCCTGTAATCCCAGCACTTTGGGAGGCCGAGACGGGCGGATCACGAGGTCAGGAGATCGAGACCATCCTGGCTAACACGGTGAAACCCCGTCTCTACTAAAAATACAAAAAACTAGCCGGGCGAGGTGGCGGGCGCCTGTAGTCCCAGCTACTCGGGAGGCTGAGGCAGGAGAATGGCGTAAACCCGGGAGGCGGAGCTTGCAGTGAGCTGAGATCCGGCCACTGCAGTCCAGCCCGGGCTACAGAGCAAGACTCCGTCTCAAAAAAAAAAAAAAAAAAAAGAAAACAGCTTATGAATCTTAACTCTAAATATTTATTGTTCTGTACCAATTGTACTGATCTCTAATGTTGGAGATTTGCATTCATGCATGGATGAAATGGATTTGCTATTCTTTATTAGTGGACAATAATGATTGGCCATAGAATTGGGCATAAGTGCAGGCTTTAAAAGCAGAGAAACCTACATTTGAAATTAACCCTGATACACAGGAACACTATAACTTTGAAAGGCATATAAACACTTGGAGCCTCAATGTCCTTAGCTGTAAAATGGGGATAATAAGAGTATCTAATTTACAGAGCTGTTGTGAGGCCTACAGTAGTATCCACCAAATGCCATCTCAGTTTCCTCTTCACAAACATAACACACATTTTCCACCGGTTTGAGTCCATGTGACAGCCCTAGCCACCATACAGATACATGTTCTAGGTGATGCAATTACAAGATAAAGGAGTGTTGTCCTATCCACAAAGGACTTTATGTGAGCAAGCGATCAGCCTTTATTTGTAAAGCCACTGAGGTTTTTTGTTGTTGTTGTTTTTCCTTTTTTCTAGGGGAGCATTGTCCAGCCCATAATATATTTGACATATGATAAACAATTGATAAATTTTGGTATTTAAGTCTGGGCGCGGTGGCTTGTACCTGTAATCCCAGCACTTTAGGAGGCCGAGGTGGGCAGATCACCTGAGGTCGGGTGTTTGAGACCAGCCTGACCAACATGGTGAAACCCCGTCTCTACTAAAAATACAAACAATGAGGCGCAAGGTGGCGGGCGCCTGTAATCCCAGTTACTCGGGAAGCCGAGGCAGGAGAATTGCTTGAACCCAGGAGGCAGAGGTTGTAGTGAACCGAGATCGTGCCACTGCACTCCAGCCTGGGGGACACAGCAAGACTCCATCTAAAAAAAAGAAAAAGGAAATTGGTATAAGGTGTCTGTGAACCAATGTGGAATGATGCCTTGAATATACATTATTAAGAGAGAGAAGCAAGACAACAGAATATATAGTGTGCCACATTTTGTGTAAGAAAGAAGGATAAATTAAAATGTATATATGTACTTGCTCACGTTTGAAAAAAAAAAACACAGGAGAGGGAAAAACACAAACGAATGCACTTGATGACCTATCCTTGTCGGGAGACTGGGGCAGGGTGGTGGGGATGTGCACGGGAGTGAGACTTCTCCGATCAAACGTTTTGACACAATGTTGATTTTTGAACCATTTATTCCCTATGTATTCAGAAATAAAAGTAATTTATAAAGGAAAATGCCTTAAAATTGGACCTTAAGAGAAATAAATTACTAACTCTATATAAAATTGATCCAAACCAACAATAAACGAAAAGGTTAATTTGGGTAACTTGAACATACTACTCAGACTATATCTGTATATCAATATTATTAGGAACTAGGAATTTTTCAGTATAAGAGGAAAAAGATAAAATATAAAAAAGAATTTAAACACTGTTATGTTAAATTTCAATAGCAATATAAACTCATACTATTTCATTATATATGTATTTTTATTATATATATATTCATTACATATGTAAATAAGGTATCCTAGTTGTGTTCCTGAAAAAGCGTCCAAACAATGACGCCCTAGTGGTAACGAACATAACTAACTCATATCTTGCATCTCCTGCTGTAATAAACGGTACAGGCAAGAATAATCAATGGATACTGAAACCATTACATAAAAGTGGCAATAGAACATTCCTACAGGGGCAGAGTACACCCCAGAAATCATTCATTTAAAAGGGAAAAAAATGTTGGATCCAATTTTATATCCACCCAGCGCATCCATCTGACCCTGCCTGCCCCGGGGACCCACTCGCCGTGATCCTAGGTAAAGCAGCCCCAGCGATGGCCGTAAAGTTCCAGCTTCCACCTTGTCACTTTACCTCCTGTAATGACAGGCCCCGCTGCCTTTGGCAAGACCATGTCATTACACCTGCCAGGACAGGAGCTGCAGCAACTCCTGTGCCCAGGTCCAGCAGGACCCATGGGCGAACTGGCTTTCCCCGGGGCTGTGTGGAGGCACCTAGTAACACAGTCCTGAAATACAAGTGCTTTAATACCACGCGAGCTTTGTCTTGCAGGACTCCTCCGAGATGCCGTGGAGCTACACAGCACCTCCAAAGGTGTCTCACACAGCCAAGCAGTCAGTTGTGCTGTTTATCAAGCAGCGGCCAGTTCAGCAGTGGACCATCTTGTATTTTCCCCCGCAATTCATTTTCCCCCCTTTCTTTCTTAGCATTGCACCCCCACCCTGCAAAGCAATAGCATGTAAACCTTGCCTCAGTTGATGTTCCCAGGCAAAGGCACCTTTTCATGGACATATAATAATTAATTTCTCAACCAGGTCATCCCCCTGAGCATCACTGGTAGCACAAAAACTCGATGTGAGGACCCCCTCATGGAATACCTATAAAATATTCTTTATAGCCAAAAAGAAAGAAAAAAGAAAGAAAGAAAGAAAGAAAAGAAAAGAGTTTATTCAAACCTAAAACCTAACTTCCATTATAAGTGCTTAAAAGTAAAAGAGAAAGGACACCATCAGAACCAGGGATGTGTCTCCTTCTGGTCCAAAGTCCCCAAGTCAATGTCGTAAATCAAAACCAAACAGAAGTTAAGGTGGGGAGATTTTCCAGATTAGCCTCCAGATGGAATCCACAAGCCTTGATTAGATCTCAGGGGAAACTGCATAAAAACCTTTAAGGGACAATTTCAAAAATGGTAAAATGACTTGGATATTAGTTGTGATTGTAGAATCATTAAGTTTTCTAGGTATGATGGTGGTATTGTGGTTATACAGGAGATTTTCTTTATTTTTAGGAGATTCATATTGAAGCACTTAGGAATCATGATGTCATACTGACAACTTATTTTCAAAAATGGTGTGTATCATGTGTTTGTGGGGAGACAGAGAGGAGAAAAACCAAATATGGTAAAACATTAACAACCATTGAATCTAGATGAAAAGCATTTGTGGTTTCTTTTGACATTTTTAAGTGTTGAAAATTTTCATAATAGAAAGTAGACAGATAAATATCAGTAAAAACCAGATAAAATTTAGGATACATATGTATTTGAAGAACTTTTTAAAGCCATGTTTTCTTTTCCTCAACCAGTTTCAAATAAGCAGCCAATACTTTATCAGGAACTAATTCATCCATCTCAAAATGGATATTCACACCCAAATTGCTGTGCTTTCAAAAGCTTTTTAACCTCTTGTTTGTTGCTAGCAGTTTCCCAGTGCAAAGAATTTGATGTCATTTCTGCACACCCAAATTCCTGTTGGCAGGATAATCAGCAAGTAATACAGAGAGCTGCTTCCTTCAACAGCTGCATTCAGCACAAAACCGAGGGCCAATGCTGTGGAGAAATAATCCTTCAGCGGTAAGGCATCAGTGATCTTTTCCATGCATTCCAAATACTGTATTGATCCAAATTGGAGCAGCATCATTCTCTACAACTGTACTGGCAACAGACAGCCACAAATGAACTATTTAATATGGCAAAAAGCACAGTTATCTGAGGCTTCTATTATTAGCACCAGTTCTCGACTCACTGGGAAAACTCTTCTTCCACTTGTTAATGCGACAATGGAACATTTGTTTGGACACAGCTTTCCATCATCGTTCTTCCCACCCCGAACTTCCCTTTACCCCCCAGTTGTCTCCAGACGGAGGTGTTTCCAGCTGGCCGCAGTTCAGCGGATCTCCAGTCCGTCTGCCCGTGAGAGTCCCAGGAAAGCTGCCATCTCCAGCGTGTCCATGCTAACTAAGCCGCCCGGGCTTTGCTCTGGACTCCTACGGAGTCCCTACAGGTAAGGTCTTCCCTGCTCCACCCAGGGAGCGGCCCCTCTCATACTGCAGAATGCTCGAAGTCCACAAATGTTCATTCTTCCCTTCCTTACTAGTAGAACTAACGCAGTTAAGGCTGAGCTCATGGTAGGCAACCTCAAAATCTCAGTGGCTTATCAAAAAAGTCATTTATTTTTCTTGCAGGCCAGTGGAGGCAGCTCTGCTTCAAGTTATGAGCTGAGTCAGGGCTGCTTTACTTGTCTCTCATCCTCTGGACCAGTGACCACTTGGGGTGGCAACAGGGCCAGTGGATGAGCAGAGACACAAGGGGCCTTGTAAGGCCTCAACTCAGAACTAACAAACTCGCTTCTGACCACATTCCATTGTCCAAAGCCCTGCATGAGCTGTAGAAAAGTATTCTCCACTTTGGTGAACATTACTAAGAGAAAAGAGGGAAGGAAGAATTGCAGGCAAGTAATACCACGTGCCTTAGATTCCTATGCAGCTTGGTGTGTACTTGCACCTAAGTTCTGGCCTGTAGGACATGAGGGGAAGTGAGGGGTACAACTCCAGGCCCTGCCCTTGTAAAGACTAGGCCCTGCCTTTCCCTGTCCGTCTGCTGGGGACGTGGTAGGACTGCAGCAGTTGCCTGGCCCAGACAGAGATGGCACAGCTATCCTGCTGATCCCACCTCTAGACTGCCACGTGTACCTCACTTATACTGCGTGGGTTTTGCATCTCAGCTATGGCATCTTAAAACCCAAACTAGCACACCATTCATTCATTCATTCATTCCCCCATTCAACAAGTATGTACTGAGTGTCTTTGTGCCAGGCACTAGGTTTTGGAGAGATGACAGTGAACAAAAACAAACTTGGCTGTTCTGTATCTTGGCTGTGGCGGTGGTTACACAAGCCTACACATGTGATAAAACTGCATAGAACTAAATACACACACAGAGAGGAATGCCAGTCAAACTGGGAATTAAAGAATCAAAAAGTCACTGGTGATTCAACATGGCAGCAGTCCAGCTTCAACCATACAGATGACAGCAGTGTGCTGAAGTATGGCAAAGCAATGATTTAAAAGAAATTGAGGCAGAGCTGCCAGTCAGGTATGCTCACCTTGGACTTTGAAGCAAGACAAACATAAAGGTCTTTGTTCTTTAAGTAGAGTGTCCATATAATTTATCATCCAAACTGAGACACCTGTGAAAATAGTGACACTGGAACAACTTGTGTGACTGATCAGCTGGTCACTCTGTCTTTAAGTCATTGTCTTGTTGAGTCTGTTATCAGAGCCCATGGAGTGCCATGCATGGACAGCTTATTTAGGCACAACAGAGAAAAATTAAAGGGAAGGAGGAGTGAGGAAGAGTGGAAAGGATAAAGAAATAGTGAGCATGGGCAGGAAACAATGCAAGGAGAAAAGCAAACGGGAATCGGATTTTCTACTAATTTGCTGTGTGTTCCTATATCAGTTTATAAATTAGTGTCTATATTTATGACTGACTGGAAGAACCAACTTTTTAGATCCTCTCATCCAACAAAGCTGCAGATTTCTTTCTTGAGATGGAGTTGAGAAAGCTTTAAAACAGGCCAAAGCAACATGAGGACATGTATCATGAGAAGAGAAATGGTCTTCCATAATTGAGTGCTGGGGAAGGCTTGGTGTAGGTAACGTAGAGGTTCTCAAACTGTGGAGAAGCTCAAAGTGTGTTCCTTTGAGCTTTGGTCTTCTTAGGCAACTGGCTAAGCCGCTATACAAAAAGACACCAAACACACTGGCTTCAACAAGACCAGGCCTCTGTTTCTCTTTCGGGTGACAGGGAAGCAGAGGACTAAGCTTTCTTTTCAAAGTCATCACCTGAAAGTTGCCCCATGACTTCTGCTCACATCCCATTGGCCAGAGACTTGAAAGGAAGCTGGGCCCATGCCCTGCCAAACCTCTGGTGGTAAGGCTTTGATTACTAAATGGAAGAAAGGGACACAGCATGTTTTGGAGTTGATACCTAGCTCTTTGGAGGTGACTCAGATCACTTGGGAGAGTCTGTAAGGCCCAGTGGGCAACACCCTAATCCTCCAGTCTCTATGTGAGAAGCTCCACCTTCATCTATTTGACGGTTCTATGTTGCGGGATGTCAGGCCCCGAATGGAGGGACCAGCTGGAGCCGTGGCAGAGGAACATAAACTGTGAAGATTTCATTTTCATATGGACATTTATCAGTTCCTAAATAATACTTTTATAATTTCTTATTCTTCTCTTTAATCTCTTAATCCTGTTATCTTCGTAAGCTGAGGATGTACATCACCTCAGGACTACTACGATAATTGTGTTACCTGTACAAATTGATTGTAAAACGTGTGTGTTTGAACAATATGAAATCAGTGCACCTTGAAAAACAACAGAGTAACAGCGATTTTTAGGGAACAAGGGAAGACAACCATAAGGTCTGACTGCCTGCGGGGTCAGGCAAAAAGAGTCGTTTTTCTTCTTGCAGAGAGCCTAGAAACGGATGTGCAAGTAGGAAAGATATCACTAAATTCTTTTCCTAGCAAGGAATATTGATATTAATACTCTGGGAAAGGAATTCATTCCTGGGGGGAGGTCTATAAATGGCCACTCTGGAAATGTCTGTCCTATGCAGTTAAGGACTGAGATATGCCCTGGTCTCCTGCAGTACCCTTGGGCTTACTAGGGTTGGGAAACTCTGCCCTGGTAAATTTGTGGTCAGACTGGTTCTCTGCTCTCGTACCCTGTTTTCTGTTAAGATGTTTATCAAGACAGTATGTGAACTGCTAAACATAGACCCTCATCAGGAGTTCTGCCTTTTGCCCTTTGTCCTGTTTCCTCAGAAGTATGTGATCTTTGTTCTGCCTTTTGCCCTTTGAAGCATGTGATCTTTGTGACCTACTCCCTATTCATATACCCACTCCCCTCTTGAAATCCTTAATAAAAACCTGCTGGTTTTAAGGCTCAGGTGGGCATCACGGTCCTACCGATATGTGATGTCACCCCTGGTGGTCCAGCTGTCAAATTCCTCTCTCTGTACTCTTTTCTCTTTATTTCTCAGCTGGCCGACACTTATGGAAAATAAAAAGAACCTACGTTGAAATATTGGGGGTGGGTTCCCTGATATCTGGCCCCCATCGGGTTCCCCTGATAGTTCTATCTAAATTTTTATCTGAAAAATAAGTTCCTCTGCTTTAAAAAAGAAACTCTGAAGACCATTTTACAGAAGATTGATTTACCAAGGTGGAAAGAGAAGCTCATCAGTGACATGACTTAGCCAAAAGCACTGGTTATACCTCTATATCTTGTTGCTGATACTGAAAGCCCTGGCCAGTCTTTCTGCCCCAAGGAAAGCCTGGGGAGGGGGTAGGTGATATTGTTAAGAGCCAGGCTCCAGCTCCTCATACACACAGCTCATTTGCTCTTCCTCCCAACCCCCACCTTTGTACTTCTTCCACACACATACCACAGAAAATAAGAATCTCAAGGTTGGAAAATCCCATTTTGCTTCAAGTCAAGTCACTGGGTTGTCCCCATGAAATGTCTCCACAATGTGTGTGCTAGATCTTTACTCTCTGTGGCACTGCCAAGATCCCCTCACCCTGCCAGAGCCCTCTGATGTGCACTCAGAGTGGAGGGGCTGGAAGAGGCGAGTGGGTAACAAGATAATAGGAGCCCCTTTTGATGACTACAGAGCCATCGGGGCAGCCCTGGGCCCCCATTTCAGACTTCCATCTTGTCGAAGCCACCACCATTAGGGTCTCAGTCAGTCATCATTCCAATTTACTTGGGTGGCTGGGTGAGGGCGGAACACTACCTTCCAGCTGTCTGAGATTAAGCAGAACAGCAGCTAAAGCAGTAACAGCAGGTCTCCTTCAGTGGCTTGCCACAGGGAAGTGTGTAGAGGTAGCTGGGCCTTTAAGTAGCTTGCCATAGGGAAGAGGGTCCAGCATGAACTGAACTCAACTTCCATTTGTGTAGCGGTAGCGGGGCCTCAAATGGCCTGGCATAGGGAAGAGGGTCCTTCAGTAGCTTGCCACAGGGAAATGTGTAGAGGCGGCTGGGCCCTTAAGCAGCTTGCCATAGGGAAGAGGGTCCTCCTCCACAAAAGGAGACGAGGGCGGGTCACGTGATTAGGCGGCCTGGGTTTGCTGACGGGCGTCACGGGCAGCCTCCTACCCTCCTCGCCTTCATGTGCCCGCTGGAGCAAACAGTTCTTTTGACAGCCTTGAGCTTTCCCGGGCAGGAACGTACTGGGGCTGCAGTCACCCTAGAAACACGGCTCTGGGCTGTGGAAACGGTGCCACTGCGGAAGCCTCTTGTCGCGGGTGGACGACGTCGTTCTGCGCCCCGCGTTCTTCTGCGGTTCCCACAGCCCGCTCCCACTTCCACCTCGGGGATCTTGCGGGGAGGCCTCAGGTCAGCTCGGCCCTCGGGATGGCGGAGAGCAGATCCGACCCAGGGCCTCTGAGCTCGCGGCCCCGGCACGTCCCGCCTTCTCCTCCGCTTGCGGGAGCCAGGGCGGCTCGGGGAGAAATCTTCTGGACACGGGCCGGGAGAAGAGGAGCCGTGGGCGCCGGCACCCAGCTTCCCGGTGTCAGTCCTGTGTTTTTTTGTTTGTTTTTCTGAGACGGGGTTTCGCTCTTTCTGCCCAGGCTGAAGTGCAACGGCGCCATCTCGGCTCGCTGCGACCGCGGCCTCCCGGGTTCAAGCGATGCTCCTGCCTCGGTCCGTCGTGTTTCTGTAAATTAGAACGGGCCTGTTCGTCACAGCCCGGGCGGCTCTCGGAGCAGCGCAGAGGCGCCCAGCAGGGGGCGCGGCTTCCGGGACGCACCTCGCAGCGCCGCGCGCGGGCTTTCGGGCCGGGACGCCAGGGGGCGGGGCCGCCAGGGGGCAGCGACGCCGAACTGCGCACGCCCTTGGGGTTCTGGCTACGGGTACCCGGACCTGCCCAACAACTCTTCTCCATTCGCGACCTCCAAACCCCTACCCGGTGCCCAGGGCACTTTCCTCCTCTCTCAGGCACGTCCTTGACCTCAGTTGCCACGTGCACAAGCTGGTGCCTTCCAGATCGGTCTTTCTCCACCGGAGTCTCCACCTGCAACTTTCTTCCTTTTCGTCCTTTGCTGGGCTAACCCCTACCCGGCCTCAGCCCTCAGCTGCCGGCTCTAACTGTGCCTCTTTGTCTTTCCCAGATCCCCAGGACCAGACAGGCTCTGCTCCCTGGGTTCCTCTCTCCTTGCTTCCCTCCTCTTCCCTCCCCTCCCCGGGGCTTCCCCATCAGTGTGGATTCCCTGACCTCATAAGGACCTAACGTCTATGCTGGATGGAAGCAGCAAAACGGACCCTCTCACTCTTGCCTTCTCCCCAGCACCAAGGAGAGGCCCAGTAAATACCGGCTGGATAAGCAAAGTAGAAACTGGAGTGGATGGTGGAAAGAGGACGGGAGGGCGGCAGCAGGAGAAAAGTGGGGCCCACAAGGTCAGCTACTGGTCCATGAAGTTTGACGGTGAAGGACGCAGAGGAATGGAGGAACCGTGAGATAGTACAGCAGAGTGAAGGGAAGCCTGACAACACTGGGGCCAAGCCCAGCAAGTTTGAAAGTGGAAGCTAAGGAGCCCTACGGGACAAAGTTGGTGAAGGCGGTGAGGGCAGTAGAGTTGAAGGATGGGTGCTGAATCACAAGAGGCAGCGAGAAAGAAAGTATGCCCAGAGGGACAAAGGAAGCAGGCATCTGCAGGTCTCAGTGTTGTACCTGCCCTGAACCTGTTGTCAATACGTGATTGAAGGGGAGAGGAAGAAATTGTGGTTGCTTATCTCAGGCCGCCTCGGTCTTGTTGGGCCAGTACCAGGTTAGGTCTTCTGTGAAATGGACATTGGGAGTCAAGGGCCTGTGAAGAAATATGCTTGTTTATATATTAGTTAGGATCAACTAAATACCGTAAGAAGCAGAGCCCACATGCAAAGGCGCCACAGTATAACCTCTACCTTACTCAAATCTAATTCTTGCTCACTTGACAGTCCAGGATGAGTGTTCAGGTCAGCGGGTGGTTCCTTTCTTTTTGGTCATTCAGGCACTGCTTTGGTTTGAATGTCTGTCGCCTCCAAAACTCATCCTGAAACTTAATTGCCAATGTGGCAGTATTGAGAAAT